GTATATATGTGGCAAGTCAGTAAAATATAACACAGATGCCCGGAGGAACCCCTCTGCTCGGCTTTCCTCTGGCAGCAGCTGACCGAAAATCAATGAGACTGCAAAATTTTGCGCTTGAAGACCAGACTTGCTCCGTTGCGTCCGGTCGCACTAAATAGAAGGCTTGCCTGAGGGCCGGTGGAATCCTCCCCCGAATCTGGGTAGACGAAGTAACAGATAGCGAGAATCGGATGGCAATGATAGTATTGGATGACCATCCGCTGCAGAATGCCAATGACTGGCAGTGAATTGAGAAAACATAGCAGACCAACTAAGCATGTGCCTCCGAGTTATAGATACTCCACGGCACACTGAAAATAGGTGATGGATAGTGCGAATGAGAACGGAGAGAATGTTGAACACGCCTAGGACGACCACCTATTATGCAATCTTCCTCAATCCTTCTTACTCCTGGCGAGCGTACGCATATTCCATTTGGCTGTTTGCCCGACAAGACTTGTGCGTCTTGAGAATACAGGTGGTGGACTGGTACTGTATTCGAAAATACAGGATGATGATGGAGGAAGATTGTCCGAACAATGGGAGATCCCTATAAGATCAGTGGGGAGTGGCGAGGAGAGGAGGAAGGTAAATGGAAAATGCGCATGCAATGGGAGATACACCGGGTATCAACTCACTGAGTCCTCCGAGAGGTTGAAGCGCTACATAAGTCCGACTAGTACACTTCTTTGTTCCCCAACGGCCAGAGTATGCAGGTCCGAGCTTGGAAACTTGCACGTATGTAGAAGGAGTCAAATCTGGGCGTGATCTGCAAATTCGAGGTGAATCGAGCACGAACTCGAGAGTGGTTGAGGTCGAGAAATAATCAGTCGCAGCTTCTGTGCCCCCACCACCCGGCGAAAAATGTGTCAGGTACAAGGGCAGAGACCAACTGTGCATGACGAAGACAGACGTGGGTCATAATACCTTGGTTAAACTATTGAGAAAAATCAGTTGGAGTTTATTACAGTGACTCGGTGTGCTTACGGGACTGAGAAAAACGCATCCGAATTCAATATGAACGCACGACAGACATGGATCGAACACGCGGCAGGGTCAGCTCAAATTCAACAAGGACATTAGCCGAATCAGATTTACGCCGCGACGGTGAAGGTAACTCGAACGCGACGCCAGGATTGACGAATCTTCGGAGAAAAAAGGGGGGCTGAAATGGCTTGGACTGGAGTGAGTTTCATTTTATGCCGCTGAAGTTGATGATCGAATTGGAATGTGTGCCTTGTTTCGATTTGGAACGAATGCGGGTGCTTCAGATGTTGAAAGCGGTCTTCAGATGCGATCCAGTGAGAATCGAGAAAACATGTGCATGCAAGGTATCAGTTGGCTGGTTATTCGAGTAGGAAGTCAGAATAACCACTCGGAGTCGTTGTGATACGCTCGGCGTGTAACCGGTCCCCAAAGCGCCTCAAGATTTGGCAAGGATTGAGGCCACAACTATCCGGAGAGTCGATTGCAATGCCACAAAGAAAGAAGTAGATTGGGTTGAGCGACATCGGACGACGCGGGAGTCCGGGACCGTAACTGCAGTTAGAATCTATGATCATGCAAGTTAGATGTGCAAGAAATTTTGCACCTTGACTTTGACCTTGAAAACGGTCACGACCGTTATTCAGTCTCTTGAAGTATGTAACAAGGCGCAGGGGTGCATAGTCATAGACTGCGAGCGAGGGGACTCGGGAGAGGAAGGCAAAGACACAGATCACGCAATGATCCGCTATCAAGCTATCAACACAGCCACGCAGTCTTCTTTCGCCCTGCCACACACTGGCGACGCTTGGCAGTCAGTCCATCCTTGCCTCACACCGCGGGCAAACCCCATGGCAGGTAAACTTTACCTGCCGTAGTGGCAGGTGCCATGGCAGGGCACGTCATGCAAGCCTCATGTTCCGATAAGATTAGCACCCATCAGAAATGAATCAATTGTGACACATCACGGGTCTCGGGCCGCAATCGAGCCACAATTCTCTCTTTGTTCTTTGCGCTTTGAACTTGGTCTTCACTGTTGTCACTGGTTCATTTCGAAGATTCACATCTGGGCTTTGGATTGGAATCTTGTAGCTGCGGGGCCATGCAGAGGTCACTTGGTGGCCAAAAAAGCAACCTACATAGGACGAGACCGCTGGAGATCGTAAAGTTAGCTAAGTCCATTGTTGTGCCAAAGGAACAGGTACTCCCGTACTTATTCTCTCACATGTATTTCTTGCACTCGGTCATTTTGAAAAATGAGAACTATGATAACTCTGAATCCCAAATTAAATTGATACGATCAAATCTAATCTAGCCTCGTGGTTATGGCAGGTTCACAGAAACTGCCACAACACCTGCCCGGAACCTGCCACTACGGCAGGTACACATTACCTGCCACGGGTTTTGCCCGCGGTGTCACTCTCCCTGGAATGCCACTTTCGAAAGTCCTTACACGGCTCCGAGCCCACTTTGGCCCAGCGAGTGCAGGAGTGCAGGTTCCACCGGGTATGTGCCACCCAAACGACCTTTTTGACTTTCATTTCACTAACAAACAAAGGGATCGCAGTGTGATATGCCACAGACACTTTTAACCCCAAAATCTCTGGCGACTCGCCTCGCTGAAACGGCGACAATGGGTGGCAGCCGTTGTCGGACGCGATCGCAAAATTGAAAATCACTGCCAATCCGAGTGTATGTGATTCCTTCTGTTTCTGGCCTTTCTCTGCTTCCCCTTCACTTCCCAATTCCATCATTGACCCTGACGCACTCAAACTCCGCAGTCGAGACATGAACATTGGGGCCGAACGACTCGCGCACGACAGGCAGGTCCACATCCTTGCTCTCACGCTTTTGTCTTGTTCTTATTTACGTCCGCCTAGGGTACGGTGGCACCGCCGCCCCCAGACGTGCAGGACTCAGGTCCGTTTGCCAACCCGATGACGGATTCCTTGAATGTTCGCACACTACATGCAATTTTTCCAAAATCACTCAAAGCCAATGCAGCGGACTTTGCCCAGCGAAAGAGGTACATACCGCCTCGCACCTCCTTTTCTTTTTTAGATCGCGGTGACTCAAATCCGTTTACTAGCTCAGCTCAAACAGAGAACGAGGGGAACATCGACCGATTCTGCTTGGCCATCATCTATTTAATTCCCCGTCTTTGCCGCCTCCAAGACCTTGATGTAAATCCTGGGTGCGTGTATCGAATCTTTCTCAGTCTATCATCAATGATCCTATTTTACTTGGATAATCCGACTCACAACACTAACCGGGTCGTCCCTCAACCATTGGGCGGGCTTCAAGCAGAATGGGTGACTCGAGCCCGAGCAGCTCGAGTGGAAGACAGTATTGGCCGACTCAACCCTGGGCTCGAGCGACTCGAGCAGATTGGTCGCTCGAGCGACTCGAGCGGGAAAATTGGTATATAGTTGCATCCTGCCTTGTACTTACACTAGATAGTGAATTAATACATGACTCGAGCGGCTCGAGTGACTCGAGCCGGACTCGAGCCGAGTGCACGTCGAGACGCTGCTGGCTCGAGTTTGGCTAAGCATGTGACAGACCTGTTTGTTTTTCTTGGGCGTGGGGTCAACGAGAATGACGCGCCGGGGATTGATGAACTGAAGCCCGCCGCATAGACCTCGAACGTTGTCTGACCCGTATATCGAAAGCGTGAGGAACAGATCTGTGATATTGGGGGAGGCTTTGAGGATGGTTTGCATCGCAGTGCCAAAGCCACCCTCGACACGCAGTTTCTTTATAAGCAGTCCTATCTCCTTGCTCGTCTTGATCGCGCCCTGCAGGGCTTCTGCTTGGGCGGTGGTTCGGAGGATTACGACGTTGTACAGGAGTGGTGTCGCCACGCGAAGCCATGCTTTGCAGACGAGCAGATACGTCGATGACGAGTAGCCCGGCGGTTCCAAAAAAGCCTTCTCTGAACGGTCAGAGAACACTTCATCCGAATGTTTGAGCAGAGGGGAAAGGATCTCGGAGATGATTTCGTAGGGAACTTGATTGGCCGCAGAACTGGCCATGCTCCTGGCCAAAGGTGCGAGCAATTCGCGATGGAAGGTGACAGACCGGAAATGATCCGATTTCGCCCGATTGTTCCGAAGCCATCGTAGCCCGGGCCAGAAAGTTGAAAAACTACAACGTGAACACAAAATTGTTGCACCGTCTGTTTACCAAGAAGAACTAGCCAGAGACAGAATTGCAAGTTCACATCCGATTACCCGTCAAGAATCAGTACGCGAATCATCCTTTCCGTTGAGCCTCGCCGGGCAACGTCAACTGTCAACCCACTGCGGTTTTTTTTTTATACAAGTAGATTTTGCCCTCAACGCACTCGAAACTGAAGCTCTTGGTTTCAAAAAGGCTAATTCCTCCAAGACTCAAGAGATCTATCTCCAGCCCACGGAGTCGAACTCAGTCTCCGGCTCCAATTTGTCGTTTGGGTTTCATTGCACCACCGCGAAGTTGTGGAGTTGAATCAGTCTTCTTCCGCCTAAGACTAGTCGGGGGAATACTCAACCTCAAATCAAGCCCTGTTTCTGCCTACCTACTGTTTATATGTACCGCAACACTTGAACTGAAGGCGGAGAAGATAACAGTAGTAATGATGCTGGCTCCAAGTCATCTCCGGCGTGCGCAGTTAAACCCCGAGCTTGGCCCGCAGGTTCATGGTTGACTCTTGGTTCAGTTGAATCCAAGGGGTGGTAGACAGTCGAAAGCAAAAACATCATCATTATCGGCTCAGACCCGAATCGAACGGGCGCCTCTGACAGAATATTCCTCAGGTCGTAGCCGCTGTCAGAACAGGCGAGTGTGGAGCATATACCACCGAGTCTATACTTGCAGGATCTTGTTTTCAACTGAGTGAGGCGTCGGCTTCAGGCTTCAAGCATGATGCATGGTGCATGGTGCATGATGTTGGACTTTATTACAGGCCGAGACAAAAGGAGTACTGTAAAGGATGACGACTCGGACCCGAATCGAACGGGCAATCTCTCACGGAATTCGAAATTCTAAACACCAGGACACGCGAGTGTGGACCATCCACCACCGAGTCTGCTCAATGTGTTCGATATAATTGAATATATAATCCTTCCCATTTCAGGCTGACGTCGTCAATTTCGTTCGCGAATTACAAGTATTTTGCGCAAGGCAACACAGTACATCTGTGAATCTTCTACTCGACGCTCATACGAGCGAAAATACAGTGCTTCAAGAAAGGATTACAATTACAGTATTGCACAGATCATATAATTATTTGTATGCATAGAACGCGGGACTCCGCGGTGCAACCCACATGATATCTTTCGGCGGTCTAACGATGGTGGCAAAAGTGGGCTGTGGCTTTGGAACCGCAATCTGCTCATCTGGAGTCACCGTGCATACCGGTGGTGATTCAACTTCGCCATGGCTCCACGCCATCTTGTCGTTCAATTTCACCAACTCCATGGGCGAGAGTGCAAATGCCGGTTTGGTGAAATGGAGGTAGAACCGCTCGGCCTGGTCGCTCGGATCGGGAAGATCGATGTATGCCCGCGGAATCGCCAAAATCGTCGCAGTGTGGTTGTACTCCTCGCGGATGCGCACCAGCGCGTATTTCTCCGTGCTGCACAACTTCCCCAGGATGGTCCACCTTCCCCGTAATTCGCCCGTGCTACGGAGCAAGGTATCGTGGGTGATGATGAGCTGTGGGACCTTTGTTACGGTGAAGAACACCTTTTGCCATTTCATGGCGCGGGCTTCGATGCGCACTTTGAGTGAGGGTGGCCGAGTTGGAGCTCTTCTGGGGGGAGGAACAGCATTTTTCGCAAGGGCATATGCCTCCGCGTGAGGAATAGGAAGGGGGAGCGTGAGCGACGATGAAGTAGGCTGCTGCCAATCCGGTGGGAGAATAATTGGCGCAGGATTCAGAATGGTGTGCAGTGCGAAGGGCGATGACGTGGGTATTATTCGAGGGAAGAGCGGGGCCGACGATTCGGAATTCTCTGGATAATAATGAGCGGTCCTCTTTGGAACGGGAGGGTAGGTGCAGCCCAAATGGGGTTCGGCTGAATGTCGAGATGAAGACATCGTGAAAAGTTGGCGGCCAACGGACACGTCAACGGTCCTGGCACGTCCTGCAGGGTTTTTGTAGGCCGATGCGCTCCACTGCCAAGTACCTGTACTTACGTCCCTTTTACGTCCCCATCCTCAACCACCATCACCTAGCTGGAACGATGCTTTGCGAGCAGCACTGGGTCCCATTTTATACCCATAGCACTACGGTAGCTGCGACGAACACGAGGAGACTGGGTGTACGCGGCGCATGGTCTGGCAAGCTCAAGGGACATTTGCGCAACTCGTCCTCTGCCAGCCTCTGCCTCCGGGGGATGACGGATGACGCGATTTCGTTGCACTTGCACGGGTGCCGAGGACGCCACGCCGCATTGCGCTCGGGGGACGCAGTCTGTTTGGCGTTGTGAAGCGCGGTGTGGCGCTCGAGGGTGAAAAGGCTTTGCATCCGTCTCCTGGCGCCCCAGTTGCCGCGCCCTGGGCGGCCCTGCAGATACCTCAGCTCCCAATCCCGATCCCAATCCTTGCCCAATCCTCTGGTGCTAACGGCGACGCCGCACTGTACGCACACACCTCCGATCTCCTCGCGCGCCGTCGTCGACGCGAGCCCAACTCCCCTGCAAAACGTTGCGCCTCCAGGCCCGCAAGGAAACGTACCGTCTTGCTACTGCTGCGTCGCGCGCCGGGCCTTTTGATTGAGGCGGGAGACCTTAATGGGATGTGCGGGTGTATCGGTCGTCTCCTCATCTTGGCTTTGAGCTTCGAGGGGGGCGGAGGTGGAGGGTGATGTGGATGTGGATGTGGATGTGTAGGGAGGGTGGTGAGGTCAGTGAGCGGTTGAGGAGAGGGAGAGGTGGGTCTTGTTCTTGTCGACTATCCATCCGAGGACGCTTATTATATTGACGCGGTCCGTATGTCGTCCACATCTTGTTCTAATAGATTAGCCATCCAGTTTCAGCTGTGGCGGCCAGCGACTTGCGAGATTGTGCACATCCCCCCACGATGCACAGAGATAATTGATGATCAAGCGGAACGTGGGGCATATATATTGAAGATTCAAGACGCTATTCAACATTTTGTTTCGCAACAACAGGGAACTTTTTATTCAGCAGTGCATTTCACGACTGAACCACACCAGCTACGCATGTGAGTGTCCCCTTTGTAACTCACTCGGTTAAGCTGGGGCTTGGGCAGTCCACGGACAACGGCGTGAAGGAATCCTGCGAGTTGGGTTCACTTCGGTGTGACGCATTCTGCTGCAATTCTTCGTCCTGGAAACCCGGAGTATCCCTCTCCAAGTCGCGTCTTGCGCGGTCCAGTGCGGTTTTCACCCGGGTATAGTGAACTTTCTTCTCCGATATGCTGCGCCTTCGCGCTGCGACTGCTGGATCCTGAATTAGCTTCAAGCACGTCCCAGGAGCTGTACTGGGAGGCAAAGCGCGGAGTAGTGCGCGGCGAACGCGGACATCCAATTGTCGCAAGAAACTGTGGTCGATACAATTGATTGCGACATCCTCGAAACGCTTCGATGCCACTGCGCAGAAATGAGATGATAACGGGGACGGTGAATCCAGCACATACACTCGAGATAGGCTTGAGCTCTGGACATGACTGTCAGCGCATTTTTGTGGTCTCTCTGGTCTTCTTCTTCGGAAGTAGGACCAGTCGGGTTATCTGAGGCTCGCTGGCCTGACGAGGCAAACAAGTCCACGAGGGTCTGCCGGACCCGGGTCGAGGAAGTGTCTCCCGCGGCAATTTGAGCAACGAAGGTAGCCCTATCGTTGACCAGAAAGTTCATCAAAACATCGGCCGCAATCCCCGCAACGGACGCCAGAGATGTTCCGTTACCTGAGACAGCCGGTTCGGGCTGATACTGTTTGTAAATTGTGGTCTGCAAAATGATGTACTCTGCCTTCAGTACAGTGGCTGGCACAAGCTCCATCGCAGCTAGCCCTTTGAGTTTGGCTTTTGTATCAGCCTCACAATGGGTTATGTTCTCATTCAGAATTTCCCTGCAGTGGAGCCTGAGTGAGAGTCTGTCAAACAACGCATATGAGCAGTAAACTCACTGAATAGTCGATAAGAAGTCTCCGCACTCATACTCCGCGAAATGTGCCTGGACCAGTGCGTCAAGGTACTCGACGGTTACGGCTTTCACGTTGCGAAATACTGCGAGTGCAACCTCCTGCCAACGTTTAACGAAATGAGTGATGATGCGAGGAGTGATCCCGTAAGGAAGCTCTCCGGGTAATTCGCGCCCAACAGCTCTGCCAACAATGAAATAAATGTCGTGTAATGTGGCCGAGATGGAAGGAAATACCCTTTAATGTCCTTGATCATTTCGTCGAGGTATACGATTTCGCCAGTGGCGCAGAGATTGGCCCAAGCTGATGAATTTCCGTCGGAAGCTGCATTGTCTGGAGCTTTCGTGGGGCAAAACCGTGGTGTTTGCTTCGACACGCCGGGGCGTATTGTGTCATAGGCCTCCTTGACTTTGAAAACCATTCCGACACCACCACTGAATGGCTCTGGAGGACTTCCTTCGATGTAAGCGGAGAAGTCGGTGGAAAACTTCTCGATGACGGCCTGAACAGTATTATAGGCATCTTCCTCAGTATGAACAGGCAGACACTCGAGCTGCGCTTCACAATCGTCGATTCTGTCCGCAATTTCTCGGGAAATCGCCGGAAGCCTGGGTAGAGGTAAGTTTTACAACCTTCGTCTCCATTGGGCAGCTAAACACGCACCGATTTGCTACAAGGTTGGATAAGAGCTTGCCTATATACCGGGTGAGTTGTTCCGACCCAAGGCGAGTCCTGTCATCTCCGTGAATAGACTTCCACATTTCGTTGTTCTCGAAGAAATCGCGCTCTTGCGCACGGGCGTCGTCCCATGACACATCTCTTTCTGCAGGGAGTTTGACAGCGAACCAGCCGTTATCGAGTTTACGGGTTTGGTTATCGAAAGTCTCGAGCCAAGACTGCCGGTTTTCTTCCGAAATTTTGTCCACCTTGGTTAGAACTCCTGCAACGGATATTAGCTTTGGTCGACGATGATTGTAGCGGGCAGAGCCCAGCGACCCACCCACTGTTCGCGCCTTGATTTGAGGGTCGGTAAATAAAAGCCTGGCGACCCCTCCGACTTCCAAGTCGTCTGCAACAGCAATTAATTACTGAGGTAAATAACATCTTGGACCGCACGTACAGTCGCAACTGATGATCAAAAGGACGATGCAGTTGGGTTTAGTAACGTATTTCATGACAAGACTCTTGATTAGGTCGATTTGGTCAGGGTTCTGTCCATCTCGGACATCTTCAATCACACCTTAAACGAAAATGAGAAGCTTTGCGACTACAGAACATAAAGAAAGATTTACCAGGGATGTCGTAAAAGTGCAGGTCCGGCAATTTGCGGCCCTTTGCGTGGACAGACACGCAATCCTCCGAGAATGTACGAGCACCTGCGCCTGGGTCCGTTGCAGCGGCGGAATCGCGGATGATACTGTCCTGGCCAGCAGCAATGGCGTCCCGGATCTCATCCAAGTCAGATAAATTGCTTTTGAACTCCTCTATGCCGCCATGGAGGCGCAACGTTATATCAACAGACAAAGAGGGTGAATCCGCAGAATGTTCGAGGCGGAATTCCATTGGGCATCTGTTGAGCAATTCAAACATGGCACAGATCAGTCTGGAGTGGCATACTTCGTGACGGTTCCACCTCCGCGGGGGAGTTTAAGCTACTCTACCGTTGTGAGTTTGAACGACAACAGCGAGCGCAAGCTTACCGTGCTAATGGCTTCCATAACAGAGCTTTTGCCAACGCTCTGAATACCCACAGCGACGATCTGGGGAAGCTCTATTTCCTGCTGGATTCTGGTCTGGACATCAGCGGACCCCGGCGATGGAATTATGGAGAGGTATGTACCCAGCATCGCGGAGTTGTTTCAAGATGTCCAGGCGAGCCTGAGTAAAGTCCCGGAGATTTGGGAAGGAAGTGTTCATGATT